GGATACTCGGTGTCTAGTTTTTTTCTGCGGTGATTGCTCGGAGTACGTTGAAGGGTCCTCATGATTCCCGGAAAAGCAAGCACGGTACCTTGCTGGAAAAGCTATGGAGGTGTTCCTAGCTTTATGTGGACGGTCCTTGCTGATGGTGTAACCAGGGCCTAATTAGGGCTTCGGTACAAAGCTCGCAAGTTGCTGTGACAACGCCGCTCTTCCTTGTCCTTGCTGCCAGTACCTGATTGCTCGTGTGGTTCTACGAAAAGTCATTCAAGACGGTCGCAGGATTAATTTTGAAACCTGCCGATGCTATTGATGGGTTGAAGTTGTCTTCCCCGAACCGAGAAGCAACGATGCAAGATGCCAGCTGTCGACTGTGCACTACTTGCACCGAAGTCGGCATACTTTGTTGAACCCCTGGACCGAACAAAGCACCAGCAAGCTGGAATGAGTCTCTGCCTTTCTGCAGAAACTGTATACACGTGCACTGCTGTCGGTACAGTGACTGAGCATGAAAGTAGGCGCACTTCGACAGGGCTCATTGATTCCGTTAAGAGTTCGCGCTTGAGGTTGCGGGCTTTTGTGCATTTGCAATTGCTCGATGCTTTGAAGCCTACTTGGAAGTTCATGGGTAGTTATACGTGGGGCTAGTATCGTTACCCTACTTATAATAAGCCCATTTAGAACTACCCATGAACCTCCAAGTGCTGAAAGCCTAGGAGCGAGAACGCGGGATCCGTTTGGCGCAGCTCCGTGGGAGATTTTGAAGGCTATTGCAGCAAGAACACCGTGTTCCGGCGTGTCGCGGCGGGTTACGGCGCCGACCGCCCTGTGACCTTCATCCAGGGCTACACATGGTCCGGCTTCACCTTCGGCAATGTGCTACCCCTGACGCATAGCGTTTGCTCCATCACACGCTATACCGGTTCTTCCAGAGGTCGCGTCTTGCAATCCTCGAGCAGCAAGAATTGGTTACACGGCCACTGGGAAAACCACGTGGGTGTCATCCACTACAACGGGTGGGTCACATCGCACGAGAGGAACCCGAAAGTGCTTGATTGGTTGGTGCTTTGCGGCACCAATGGCGCTACACGTGCCTTCGATGGCTTGTCTTCGGGCTCTCCGACCAATATTGCGACCAACGCCCCGAAAAAGTTCACCGGAACAATACCTCTGTACGTCAACCACGGCCGTGAGCACGAAAAGTCTGATTTTGCCGTCATGGAGGTGATTACATGGGACAGGGTGTTGTCGGAGGAGGAGATGCTGGCCACTGTCGATTATTTGAAGTGGAAGCTGAGGGCAGGAGCCGTCCTTGAGACGTCGGAACACCTTGCCACGGAATCCCAGCACAACTTGGATTCTTGGGGCGTTCAAGACTTGGACAACATGCAGTCGAAGACGACCGAGGTCACCTTTGCCAACGGCTACAAAGCAGACCTGGCAGGCTGGACACATACTCGTTACTATGCGCGCGGCTTCATCACAAACAAAAACGACGTAGCCACGGCTGTCGTGAAAGGCCTGACACCCGCAGCACAGTACCTCTATCAGATCTACATGGTCCATGAGATGTCCAACTGGCAGGGTGAAGCCCAGGTATCCGTGAACCACGGAGTGAAGGCACGAGCCCAGCAGAATGGCATCAACGAGGCCAGGTTTGCCGGGGTGGCAGTGGCATCGCCCAGAGGCGAGATCAATTTCGAGTTCCAACGCATCTCCCCCCATTGCCACCTCAGCAGCATCGCCATTGCAAAAGTAGGACCAAGCACTGTCGCCAAGCCTGCGGACCCACCATCGCAGGGCATGTATGCCTGGTTCAAGTGACTCGTCTGAATTGGTAAAAACAGCAGTGCAAGTGTGTCGCAGTCGGTCCGACAAGACTTTGATGTCGTGTTCCTCGAGGGCTTTTTAGAGCAGCAGTGTTTCAATCTTTGCACACTGCATGTTCATACTGTTGCGTCTCTTTGGTCGTCAGCTGTGCCCGTGGTAAAGCGTATGCAGAACAACCAAGCATGCTGCCAGCCGAAGAGAACAGTCCCAACACAGGAGCGAGAACGCGGGATCCGTTTGGCGCAGCTCCGTGGGAGACTTTGAAGGCTATTGCAGCAGGAACAGTGTGTTCCGGAGAGTGGAAGCAGGCTATGGCGCCGACCGCCCTGTCACCTTCATTGAGGGCACCACGGGGTCCGGGTTTACCTTCGGGAACGTGCTTCCTGTGACCCACAGCGTGTGCTCTATATCTCGCTACAGCAGAGCCGGAGATTCATCCTCTACCAGAGGTCGCATCTTGCAATCCTCGAGCAGCAAGAATTGGTTACACGGCCACTGGAAAAACCACGTGGGTGTCATCCACTACAACGGGTGGGTCACATCGCACGAGAGGAACCCGAACGTGCTTGATTGGTTGGTGCTTTGCGGCACCAATGGCGCTACACGTGCCTTCGATGGCTTGTCTTCGGGCACTCCGACCAATATTGCGACCAAAGAACCGAAAAAGTTCACCGGAACAATACCTCTGTACGTCAACCACGGCCGTGAGCACGAAAAGTCTGATTTTGCAGTCATGGAGGTGATTACATGGGACAGGGTGTTGTCGGAGGAGGAGATGCTGGCCACTGTCGATTATTTGAAGTGGAAGCTGAGGGCAGGAGCCGTCCTTGAGACGTCGGAACACCTTGCCACGGAATCCCAGCACAACTTGGATTCTTGGGGCGTTCAAGACTTGGACAACATGCAGTCGAAGACGACCGAGGTCACCTTTGCCAACGGCTACAAAGCAGACCTGGCAGGCTGGACACACACTCGTCACTATGCGCGGGGCTTCATCACAAACTCAAAGGATGTAGCCACGGCTGTCGTGAAAGGCCTGACACCCGCAGCACAGTACCTCTACCAGATCTACATGGTCCATGAGATGTCCAACTGGCGAGGTGAAGCCCAGGTATCCGTGAACCACGGAGTGCAGGCACGAGCAAGGCAGAATGGCGTCAACGAGGCCAAGTTTGCCGGGGTGGCAGTGGCATCGCCCAGAGGCGAGATCAATTTCGAGTTCCAACGCATCTCCCCCCATTGCCACCTCAGCAGCATCGCCATTGCGAAGGTGATGGGAACAGCAGGCCTCCTGCAGCAGGCGGGAAGGGCTCGAGTCTCGCAAGCTGTTTCTGTCTCTTGCTCCCTCTCTCTCCCTCTCTCCCTCCCTCCGTGTGTGTGTGTGTCTGTGCAAATGTTTACAGTCATGTTTGCATGTTTTTGCACTCTCTCCCTCTCTCTCGCATTCTCCATCCACTCTCCTCAAGCATGCACAGGCAGCGGTCCGCATGACATCATTATACAGTTTGCAGGAAGGAGGTGAGCCCTGACACGGACGAAGCTTTCGTGATTTCAGTTTGCCTCTAAATAAACGAAACCTCACTCCCTCACAGGATCGCGCAGATGTCGTGACAGGGTTTAGAACTTACAGTACCGAGGTGGCTGCGCACACAAGGTGTCAAAAGCCCCATTGGGTAGTACCCAAGCCCGACACCTTAAGCTCAAGCGCTACACTGCCCTGCCTATATAGCCTGAGCCTTCTAACATCAGTCTCAAGCCTGGAGCCACAAGCAACTTGAAGCGAAATCCCAAAGAGACCAAGGTGCAGAAACTCGAGAGAAAAGCAAGACGTAGCCCTCATCCAGATCCTGAAGGGTTTAGGGGCTTCACGCTTATGTGCAGGCTACCACCGTCGCCGCAGTGCAGACGCAGGGTGTCTTCGCCATTTTGGGATGTTGTGTGTCGGGTGTGCAGGTTTCTGTCCAAGCAGGCCCGCTCGATGAGGTTCTACCATTCAGTGTAGTGAGAGTTGGTCTGGGTGACCGCGTCGCCGGGACAGCTTTTGCACTAACTATCCCCATTTGCGCAGGATCTGTTGTGCTATCCCCCATGCATAGGCCACTTTTTTTTTTGCTTCGATAAAAGTGAAGACTCTGAACTCCGCCAGTACTTGGGGAGTCCTGCTCGTGGGAGGTTCTACTTTGGCATAATACGACTTTGTTTTCATGAAGGTTTGCTCCCCACATCATTGTGGGGTTCTTGTTTTCCTTGTCGCACTCCCGCGCACCGCCCCGCGCCGCTGCTACCTACCTACCTACCTACCTACCTACCTACCTACCTACCTACCTACCTACCTACCTACCTACCTACCTACCTCTACCTACCTACCTCTACCTGCGTACCTGCCTACTTGCCTACCACCTAGCTACCTGCCTTCCTGCCTACTTACCTACCAACCTCCCTACCCACCTGCTTACATGCTAGGAGAAAGGAACAAATAAGCAAATAGATAACTATACATATATGAAGAGAGGCTTCATTGATACGTGATACGTCAGTCAGTGCCACGCTTATCCGCACAGATATGATGCCCAGGAAGAGGAATGTCAGTTTCATGCTTATTCATGCCGACATGATGCCCAATTAAGGGTGACTCATTGCAGATGCGCGCGGTTGACAGCACTTCCCCTGCTGGGCGGTTCTTTAGCTGTCCAGCTGCTGCTGAGGCTGCATCAACACAGGCTTCAAATTGCTGAGGTGTACATAGCAGGCGCCATTGGACTCAAAAACCATGTCAAGGTTGATGAATGCACCACCAGGTACTTGAATCTGAGACCCTAAACCCTAATGCCTAGACCCTGAACCCAAGAAGTTGCAAACCTCATCCTTGGAGCCAACACCCAGATCTAATTTCAATTTGTGCAGGCTGGCTGCCCAGATCTGCATGCATGGATGGATCCGGGGTTACATGTGACTGTGTAAAGCCAGGAGATGTAGACGGCGGAGGCTTTCGGAAACAGCACTCTTAGCCTGAATATAGGAGCCTAAATAAATACCTACAGTATTTTGGGGCTCCTTATATTAACAGTTATACTATAACAGGCCCCTATTCTAATTATTAAGGCCCCTACATTATCCGTCCCAGCCTGCACCCTACTGAGTCTGCGCTCCGGGATCCATCCCCGTGGTGTCAGGTTCGGGCAGGTGGCCACGTCAAATTCAGTTCACCCTTTCTCTCGGAAGTTCGAAGGACTGGTGTATTATTATTATTGTCATTATCATTGTCGTTGTATTTGTTGTTATTATATATATATATAGTATTTTGCTTTACCAGCCAGTAAGTCGCCTTTTCCTTCAAGCCGTCAGAGAGAGATTGGCATTGCACGAGAATGCAACAAAGTCAGAGTGTAGGACTTACCAGCAGACTCCCAAATCCCTGACAACCACCAGTAAATTTCCTTAACTAGACCCTAGACCCTAAACCTCAAACCCTAAACCCTAAAACCCTAAACCCTGATCATCAGCAGTGGCGTTGTTCAA